TTCGCAGGTTCTTTCTTGTGATTGGTTGTTGGGAGTTGTGTCAGAGAGTGAGAAACACTGTGTGTCTTCTCCCCATCTGTGCATGATTGTCTTCCGCTGCTTATTTTCACCTGTGTGCAGGTTCGACTCTGTCTCCTCTCCCCCCTTTTCTTATGCATGTAGGGGCATGTATGAGATTGTCTGTGTATGAGTGGCGATAAAATTCGTCAGACAACCAAGTTCATAACAGTTGGTATCGGAGCGAGATTGGAATTAGGACACTGAGGATTGAGTGCACTGAGGCACCTTCTTCATCTGGCGATCTACTGGCGAGAGTTTCATGGCGAATCATCTTCCCCAGTACTGAGTCAGCAGAGAAAAAGACTTTCAGCGGTGGATTCAAGTGTTCAGTGGTTGCACTGAGCAAGCGCACTGAGCCTGTCAGGGCGCTTGTCAAGAAGTGGCGAGTACAGGGCTAATTCGCCATAGCCAACCCTGAGGGTAGTACAGGAATTACACCAGAGTGGCGAATTACCCCTGAGGAAATCAGGGAACCCTGAGCGGCATCATCCATGGGTAGCGCTGGCGGAGATTGACAGTCTGAATCAATCTCCTGGAGAATCTGGGGCTATTTTTAGCATCAGCGGCTACCAGGCACTGTGGCGAGATATGTTGGAGTTGGTATACTGGGCGCCACAGGACCAGATACAGGGTATCTGGAGTGAGGGGGTGCAGCGCTACAGGATCCTGAGGAGGATCAACCAATTTGAAACAGTTCTGTGCGTGAAAGTATCAGGAGAAATATTTGGAGGAAATTGGCGAGATAGGGGTATCATCAACCATAACTAGATCTTCATCATCTCCTGCAAGATTCTCTGAAAGTGAGTCCGTTCCATTCACCTACCTGTACTGCGATCCAGATAGTAGTAGATCAGTGAATTCTAATGGTCTATCTGTCTGGCAGTGACTGAAAGTGAAAATCGCAGACTGCATGACAACCATAGCCATCTCTCCCCTACCTCTCTCTGCTCATTTCTCACCCTCTGCTGACTCTTTCTGATCCAAAATTGTCCTGTGACTGCTATACTGCATTGCGGTATTCTGGGATGCTCAAATTGTGAATTTTGCACTGGAAAGGTAGTGATACTATGAATTCCAGTTTTGCGCTGAGTCTATTTATAGCCTATGCTAATTAGAGTCAGTCATAACTTCAATTTTGTCCGCCAGAATTCAAATCTGTTAGTCCCCAGTGAATCGCAAATTGAAAATAATCAATACTGCAGAATCGCAAGATTGGATTTGCAGTATTTCACGGATACAGTGAAAACTGTAATTCACCGTACCCAAGGGTATGGCCGCCAGAGTTCTCAGAGTCTAAAATTGACTTTGAGTCAGGATACAGGGTCTCCGTCTGAATCGCTTGTTGTGGTTGATCTCTCTTGTCCGTACTAACCATGCTCTATCATTCTCACTGATTACACTTGTTTTCTAGTGGGTACTGGAAATCTAATGGGTCTTTGGAAGAGTAGTGGGGTGACTCTACTAACTCTAGTGTGGTCCAGGGTCAGTAAAAGAAAATCGTGTGTTCGATTTTGCTGGACTAACAGTCTGTTAGACACCTGCCCCAGAGACACCTTTCCAACCCAAACCATTAATTGCCTGTATACCCACCTATTCCTGTGTTGAGTTATTGCAGCGATTCCAGGGTGTTTGAAGGAATCTGAGTATCGCTGCATACTCTGGCTGCTGTCTGTTTTATTTTTGGTTTTGTTTTGGAACCGGAAAAATGTCTGATCAGGGGGCTCAGCAGCAGCCACAGGTGGAAGTGGTGATGAAGGTGGAAGGTGAACAGCCTTCGACCTCCACTCCTCCTCCCCCACCTCTGACTGCTACTCAGCGGTTGAAGAAGGAGCTGGAAGAACAGCTGCGTCAGCAACAGGCCAGACTTGCAGAAGTGGAACGGCAGGAGGCAACTGAACTAGAGGCTGCAACAGATCATTCCAGGAGGGAATATCTGTTGCAGCAGCTAGGCAAGGCGCTCACAGATGATCGTTGTTCCCAGATCACCCAGCATATGGCAGAGATGATTCTGTTGGAGCACAAGATCACCAGCTCCCAGTTCACAAACTGGGATGATCGCTTTGTGAGACTGAAGCGTCTGGTTGACGAGCTGTCAGCTCAGCAGTCCAAGATCCTGGACTCTATCCAGAACTTGACTGCTCAACTGACAACCTCCAAGCTGATTACTCCTCAGCCCCCTCTGCTGAAACCCAAACCATCTCCTCCTCCTTCATCCCCTTCCTCACCACCTGCATCCCATGCTGGTTCTGTACATTCTTCCCGATCATCTACCCCTTCCCATAAGGCCTCAGGAAAGGCCACCTATGCTGTTGTGACTGCAGGAGACCAAAGAGGTCCCAAGATCCCTGCTCCCAACAAGTTCAGGGGCGATGACCCCAAGACCGATGTTGGGGACTGGGTTGCTGGGACCAGAGCCTACTTGAGGGGCTTTGTTTGTGCAGAACAGACCAAGGTGGCGACTGTACTGGGACTGCTGGTAGGGCCTGGACTGAAGTGGGCCACTTCAACTTCCAGCAGTCTGCAGCAGTCCATGGAGGACTGGGCTTTTGGGCTTGGGGTAGACAAGCTTCTGCAAGCCCTGGAGGACCTATTTGCAGACAAGGAGCGGGCTCGCAAGGCTGCTAACAGGATTGTTCGCCTGGGACAGCAGCGGTACAGCGGCACCCTGCAGGCCTTGTTTGCTGAGTTCGAGCAGCTTACCTCCACCCCTGGGTTGGTCATGTCTTCTGAGAATTTGTCGACCAACTTCTGCAGGGCAGCGCCTGAGAAGTTTGATGTTGCATTGTATAGCGTTGGGCACAAGGACTGGAGGTCCTTTGGCCGTGCAACCCTGGAAATGGAGGCCAAACTCCATGTCCAGGCCCCATCCTCTGATAGGAGGAAAGGTGCCTTCCCCAGAGGTGGCAAAAGGGGAAAGGCAGTCTTCATTCATGCGGAGTCTGCCTCAGAATCAGATTCCGATTCCCAGCCTGATGCACCTTCAGGTGGGACCGGATCTGCTGCTGAGACAGATGTTGCAACAGTCGTGACTCAGGCTGTTTTGGGAGCTCTGCAGCTGCAGAAGAAGTTCTCTCCCACCACAGCCTCAACCAATGCAAAGGGGAAGGATCAGGGACGTCGGCCTTCCTCTTCTCAGCGCCCTAACCTGCCCAAAGACGTCCATATACCAGTTGAACCTCTCAATCCATCCACACTCCCTTGGCATGACCTCAAGATCCAGGAGGGAGTCTGGAGAAGAAGAAAGGAAAGAGGGGTCTGCTTGAGGTGTGAGGGCCAGCACTTCCTGAAGGACTGCCCTTACATGCCAGGCCCAGGGCAGTCAAAAAACTGAAACAGACCCTGGGGACTGCAGTTCCCCCCAGTGTTGCACCTTCATCTACTCAACTAGGTGGATCTGCAACTGTTTCAGTTGAGACTGCGTGTGATGATGTGTGTGTGGGGACTGCGCGGGCAACATCCTTTTGTTATGAGGATCCTGACCCGGATCAGGACCCGGGGCAGGATGAGCTCCAGTCCCTTGCTGCCTTCTTCCTTCATCTGAAGGAACAAAAGAAGAGCAAGACTGATCTCATCATGCTTCGGCCACTGATCAACAGCACCAGGATCACTGGGTTGTTGGACTGTGGGGCCACCAGGAACTTCATGTTTCCCAGTACAGTTAAAAAGTTGCACCTGGGCATGAAAGTTCAGCAGCTGCAGCAACCGCTGCTAGTGCGGATTGGTGACTCTACAGTGCTCAACATTCGGAAGAATGTCAAGGGTATTCCTGTGACCTGCGATACTGCTGGAAAAGTGAGACGCAATCTGAACTTCTACATTTTTCCTAAGCTGCCTTTTGATTTGGTGTTCTCCATGCAGTGGTTGAGGGCAGTCAACCCTAGGATCGACTGGCAGATCCCTAGAGTGGAACTACCAGATAGCCAGGGTGTGTATCAGACATGCATGATTGTTGCTGATCACCACCCTAAGACCTCCTGCTACTATTTGCGCGCGAGGGAGTTTCATGCTCTCTCACGCCAGTACCACCATGAGCGTCTGTTTATTGCTTTGGTCAAGCAAATAGATGCTCCCCCTGTTTTCTGTCCTCTTGAGATACAGCAGGTGGTAGACCAGTATGCTGATCTGATGCACGAGCCCTTTGGGTTACCCAACCGGCCAATGAAGCATCACATCGAGCTGCTGCCTGGAGCGGTCCCTCCCAAGGGCCGCATCTACAGGATGTCCCCTGCTGAGCTTGAGGAGCTCAGAAAGTAGCTTCAGACCCTGACCAGCAAGGGTTGGATTAGACCCAGGTCACCCAGCACTTATGAATTTGGTGCACCTGTTCTCTTTGTGCCCAAAGGGAACGACGAGTTCAGAATGTGCATTGATTACAGGGGTCTCAATAAGATTACTAGGAAGAGTACTGAGCCACTTCCTAGGATCGATGACCTCCTGGACATGGTGCAGGGTTGCACAGTGTTCAACAAAGTCGACCTCAAATCTGACTACCACCAGATTGAGATGGCAGAGGAGGACGTCTATAAGACAACCTTCAAGACCAGGTATGGGACTTACGAGTTCCTGGTCATGCCATTCGGACTTTGCAACGCCCCAGGCACCTTCCAGACAGAGATGCACCGCATCTTCAGGCCTTACCTGGACAAGTTTATGGTTGTCTACTTGGATGATATCCTGGTATTCAGCAAAACTGCCAGGGAACATGCGGAGCACTTGGCTCTTGTCTTTCAGTCGTTACGTGACAGCCAGTATAAGATCAATAGAGAGAAATTCTCCTTTGGAGTTCCCTCTGTTATCTATCTGGGTCATGTAATCTCTCGAGATGGCATGGCTCCTGAAGCAGCCAAGATTGCTGCTATTCAGGAGTGGCCTCAGCCTCAGACAGTAAGGGACGTTAGGTCCTTCATGGGTTTAGCCTCCTACTACAGAAAGTTTGTCAGAAACTTTTCTACAGTGGTTGCACCCCTGACTAACCTAACAAAGAAGGACACTCCCTTCCTTTGGTCCCTCCACTGTCAGTTGGCCTTCACACGACTCAAGAAGGCCTTGACTCGTGCACCTGTACTGAAGTTACCTGACCCGACTTTGCCATTCATCCTGACCACTGACGCCAGTCAGTATGGCATTGGGGCAGTTCTTCAGCACGATGATGGGAATGGTCTACGACCGGTAGAGTTTATGAGTAAGAAGATCAAGACTCAAAAGCTCAAGGACTCCACCTACGAGAAAGAGCTATATGCTTTTGTCTGTGCCCTGAAACATTGGAAACACTTTCTCCTGGGCAGGAACTTCAAGATCTTTTCATATCACTCCACCCTCCAGTGGATGAAGTCCCAGGGAGAGTTGAATGATAAGTTGGCACGGTACATTCAGTTCATTGACATGTTTGACTTTAAACTGAAGCATAAGAAGGGCTGCTACAACAAAGTAGCAGATACCCTCTCTCGTAAGCCTGACTCTTTTGCGCTGATCTCCTCTACTCACTCCTTTGGAGAGGAGACCCGTCAGACTATTGCTCGTCTACTGCCTCAGGACGAGACTTTCGGACCCATTGTCAGGAATCTGCAAGCAGATCCTAACTCTCAACCAGGATATGCTATGAGTTCAGACCTGCTGTATACCTGCAGCAGAGGTGAGGAGCGCTTGTGCATTCCCCAGGACCAGCAGCTCAGGACACTGCTGATGTTAGAGTGTCACGACGCCCGTGGACATTTCGGGTTCCTAAAGTCTTATGCAGCCATGTCGCAGCGCTTCTTCTGGAAAGAGATGCGGAGTGATATGCTGTGTTATGTGGACACCTGTGAGTTTTGCCAAAGGAACAAGGTTCAACGTAAACCTCCTTTGGGACTGCTCAAACCCTTACCCATACCTGATGGCCGTGCTTAATCTGTGCCGATAGACTTCACAGATTTAGGCAAGACCACCCCTCGTGGCATGCGTCAGGTTATGGTCTGCATGGACAGGTTCTCCAAATACACAGAGTTCATCCCCTTGCCAGAGGTAGCTAGGGTACCGGCTGTGAGAGCAGCCTTCTCTGAGAGGTAGGTCGCACACCATGGACCGCCCACTTCCATTGTCAGTGATCGAGACCCCAAATTTTGCAGCGATGAGTGGTAGTCCTATTGTAAGGATTACCTGCACTCACGACTGGACATGACTTCTGGTCACCATCCTGAAGCCAATGGTTTGGCGGAAGTGATGAACCAAGTCTTATTCCAGCTGCTGCGTCCTGTTATCTCCCAAGATCAATAGGACTGCGATCTCCATTTAGCGAGGGCACAACTCATGTATAATATGTCTGTCCACTCCTCGACAGGGTTCAGTCCCTACCGGTTACACTGGGGACGTGAACCACGACAGCCTCTCGATGACATCATCGATAAGGCTAAGCCTGATCTGACTCCAGACACGGCAGAGTTCACCAGACGTTATCGTCTAGATGTGGAAAGAGCCCGCGCGAACTTGTTCAAAGCCCAAAAGGCTATGATTGAACAAGCTAATCGCCACAGGCGGCCTTCCCTCATCCGCACTAATGACCATGTATGGGTGGGCAGCTCTGAGCTGACGAGGGAGGAGGATATCTCCCCCAAGCTGTTGCCACGTTACCTGGGTCCATGACAGGTTTTAGATACATGGTCCGTCCTACGTCATCGACGTCCCGCTGCATCCCCGCACCTACCCGGTCTTTCATGCATCTAAGCTGATGCCTTTCACTCCAGTTTATGCGTTCCCAGACTGACCCCCTCAGTTTGGTCCGCCAAACCCTGGTGAGGGATATGACATTGACCGGATTGAGGATGAGTGGGGCACAGACCCCGATCGGCAGTATCTTGTCAGGTTTGCATTCCAGCCTCCTTCAACAGAAAAATTCCCACGAGAAATGAAAGTTGAAAAAACATTATAAAAAAAAAAAACATTCATATTTATAAATTATCAGTTCAATGTTCGTCCAATTCTAAAATTTGCAGTTTTATTTGATAAGTTCCCGTCTAAATATGAATTTTCCCTTCCAACTACATCTATTTGTTCAAGATGGAATGAAAGTCTGGACGAGTTTATGAAATGTTTTAATTAAACTTTCATTCTACTACAACAAATATCTTCCAATTTAGATTGGATTAACCTATTTATGACTGAAAATCTTTACTTAGAATGACAGTCCAATTAAAATATTTCATGAACTCATCCATACTTTCATTCCATGTCTAGCATGCAGTTCAAATAAGAAGGGATAGCCATTCTTGGAAGGAAAGTTTTCAAGTAAGAAGAAAAATTTTAAAATTGGAATGACATTTTTTAAGATGGAATGAGAATTTGAAATTTAGAATGTAATTTTACTATAGAATGATTATTTAATTCTGAAAAAATTTTCTATTGTTCTGAGAACAGGTGGTTCTATAGAAGAGACATGCTCAAGACAGCAAAGTCCATTGTATTGCGATATGAAGCGGCCCAGAAGGGCAACCTTCCTCGTCGTTCACCTCGCCTACACCCCTAGCTCGAAGGTCCTCGCTCCCGGGGAGGGTAAACCTGCAATGACTTGCTGATGTCTACTGCCGAGACTGACTGCGAGGCTGTACACTAATCGGTAGGATTAGATTCGTGATTTTGTTTGGCTGAGGGCTAACCGAAAGACCTGCCTGTAAGAAAATTCGTGAGGGACATATCTGCAAATCTGGAAAAATATAGGCCCAACACTAACCCGAATTCCGACAGCTACCCTAACTGCCTATAGAAGGCCCAGGCTACCCCTAGGACAAACAGGCCCTACAACAGAAAACTTTTCCAGAATTAAATAATCATTTTAGAGTAAAATTACATTCTAAATTTCAAATTTTCATTCCATCTTAAAAAATGTAATTCCAATTTTAAAATTTTCTATCTTACTTAAAAACTTTCCTTCCAAGAATGGGGTATCCCTTCTTATTGAAACTGCATGCTAGAGATGGAATGAAAGTCTGGATGAGTTCATTAAATATTTTAATTGGACTGCCATTCTAAGTAAGGATTTCCAATCATAAATAAGTTAATCCAATCTAAATTAGACGATATTTGTTGTAATAGAATGAAAGTCTAATTAAAACATTTCATAAATTCATCCAGACTTTCATTCCATCTTGAACAAATAGATCTAGTTGGAAGGGAAAACTCATATTTAGACGGAAACTTATCAAATTAAATTGGAAATTTTAGAATTGGATAAACATTGGAATGATAATTTATAAATATGAAGGATTTTTTTTTATGGAATGTTTTTTTCAACTTTCATTTCTCATGGGAAGTTTTCTGTTGTAAGCGACCTATGCTGCTAGACGGTCCTATCGCCTATAGCCGGGTCCGGTAGAGGCCGAGAGGCCGAAACAGCAACGGTACCGGTCGGTCAGTCAGTCCGGTCTAGGCCTAGGTAGTCTATAGATAGGTTAGGCCCATCGGTTCAGGACTATTGGCAGTTCATTTCTCGTGAAGCAGCGTTGGAGAAGCCAAGCAAGTTGGTGGCGGTGTTCGTCTACAGGCGGCATCCTGAGACCTCGCCGTTGACAGCAGCCATAGCCGGCCCAGTCTGGGTCTGCCATAGCTGGGGCATCCTCAACGCATCTACCCCTGGGGGTATCTGCGTATGGCCGGGCTAGATCGAGGCTCTAGAGTGTGTGTTCGTGGGTGGTGGCAGCCATAGCTGCCTGCTCCTT